AAAGTATGTAATGCCGTTTTGAAGCGAAAACGGTGGGATATAACATCACTAAAACGTTATTTTCTCATGCAAAGTCTCCGACAGAGTTGGCTTCAATTTTCAGGGAACATGTCAACGTGACTTATGATGAGGTATAGAAAGTTCGAAGTTGCTGGCATAAGATACTCGTAAGTTATTGGCGAAAAACGGGATGGGCAGGTTCTGCGCCCTGTCCCCCAACGGTTGGGAGCGTTTCACGCGATAAAAAGTTTAAAAATCGATCATATTTTTTTAGAAATGGAGGTATAGGTGACGCCATGATTTATTACGAGCGAGCGAGCGCAGCGAGCGAAGCGAAGTCTTTTCAATATAACGGAAAAATCTCAGTATGAGCGGCCCGGCCCGGCCCGGCCCGGCCCGGCCTGTAACGCTTTTGAGAGGCTTATATCTTAGCAACCGCTGGACCGAATGGCCTGCGGTCTTTTTTGCTGGGTAGCCCCATCCCTTCTACCCCGTAATTGACTACTTTTGATACATCTCAGTGACCGCCGTGGCACGTGCCACGTGAAAAGTCAAGGGTGTTCAAGCAGTTTTGCAAAAGTAATGATTTTGAGAGGTCCATATCTCAGCAGCGGCTTGAGCGATTGTCTTGCGGTCATTTTTATAGGGTAGCTGCATCCCTTCTACCAAAGGTCGGATACTCTTCATCTATGTGAGTGACCCCCACTGCACGTGCAAAATACAACAATAAGAGGTGCCAAATTTGTTCCCATTTCAGTAACTCGGTAATTACTGGGGCGATTTCGCTGAAACTTGGCATACAGGTAGGCACCCACCAGGCAATGCATTCCCATGTGTTGCGGTTAGGGTGCTACTGCACGTGCGCACGTGCAGGGGGCGTTTCCAGATCTCGAGAACGGCTGGGCCGATTGCGCTCAAATTTGGTACACGGTTGGGGACCAGTTAGTAGGGTGCAGTGCAAAAGTCATTTTGGACCCCGTTTGCACGTGCGCACGTGCAGAATGCCGCTTCCAGATCTCAGGAACGGCTGGGCCGATTGCGTTCAAATTTGGTACACCGCTAGCGACCGGTTAGAAGGGTGCTTTGCACAAGCCCGTTGGAAGTACCCTCTTGCCCTTCTGCACGTGCAGGGCTCACTATCTCGCTCGCTCGTTCTTCGCCCAAAAGGCGTTTTACTGGTGAATTATGGACCGAAAATGGCATATGTCTAAAAAAAAAAATCACAGAATAGACACACACACACATGGCGATCTCCGACTTTTGATAAGTGTTCTATATTTTCCAGAGTTTTGAGATGAAACTTGGCAATTTGTCTCTTTTACCTAATGGTTATGATGCATATATTTGTTAACTTGAACTTTTTTAACCAAAAACGTAATCGATGATAAACTGTTCCAAATCTATGCCTAAAAGTAACCATATGCCATAAAACAGATGTCATATACCGCGAATACCAACTTTCGATTTTTTGGGATGTCTTATTACCTGGCTAGCCTGACCTTTGCCGTTTTTTCCCGACCTTCGCAGCGCCGCCGTTTTTTTTTTTTTTTTGGTTTACCTGTTCATGTACCTTTTCCACACATGTAAAATTTCAGACCCGGGTCGCTTAAGGTCGGGTCACCAGGTCACGTCGTGACCTTACCTCAGAAAAAGTTCAAATGCTCGCTATAGCTTCACCGACTAAAGGATCACTTTGAAACTTTCAGAGATTGATAAGAATACCAGTGTGTATAAACAGCATCTTTCGGATTTTTTTTATGTCTGTGACCTAACTAAGGTCAGGTCAATTATGCGACCTTTCCATTATAAGTCAATGGGAGAAAATTGAAATGCGCCTCTTTTGGACGGATGTCGTTCAAAACTCTCTCAAACACTGGTTCATAGGTAAACATGACACACTGAATCGAAAAATGCACATGTGGCTCCTCTTTGTGTCCCTAGGGTCATCTCAGGTCATGAACGGTCACCAGCAGTTTTTTTTTTGCTATAACTTTTGTTAGAGACGTGCCAGAGCGATGAAAACACATCAGATGTGTTCAGCTCGACGATACGGATCGACTGATATGCAACATGACCCTTTCCGGTCAGGTCATGACTTTGACCTTAGGTCAAATTTTCAAAATGACCTTTCAAGGTCAACGTATAGTTCATTCGACGCGTCTCGACGAGAGGAACACGATGCTGGCAAAATTAATGTGGCTCTCTTGAGTCAAAAGTTATTACCGAAATAGATTTTTCGTGAAAACGGCTATTTTTGGAGTTTTTGCCTTCTGGAGGCTAAACCGTTGACCTGAGGTCAAATCTGAGAACAACACTCAGAAAAGTCTGTAAAAGGGCTATCGAATGCCCTCTTCCGCGACGCAGCAGCTCTATTTTTTAATCAGGTCATCGCTGAGGTCATTGGAGGTCACCAAAGGTAAAATCATCACGAAATTTGGTTCCCGTTTTGGACAGCTTCTTACAAATTGACGCATAAGTCGGGAAATAATAGAGCAACAGCGCTGAGGAAAAGCGCATTCGATAGCTCTTTTAAAGTGCTTTCTGAGCATTGTTCTCAGATTTGACCGTAGGTGAACGGTTTAGTCTCCAGAAAGCAAAAACTCGAAATTTGACTTTTTTATAATTTTCTTTAATAATTTTTGACATAAACCTTGTTTTGCGTTGACTTTACGGGCGTCGCGTTTCTCTCGTCGAGACGCATCGAATGAACTATAAGTTGTTCTAAAAAGGTCGACTTAAAAATTTGACCTCAGGCGTTTAATGGTCAGAGAAAATGTCATGTTGCATATCACTTATCAGTCGATTCGTATCATTGAGCTGAACACACCACGCTGTTTTCAGCGCTCTGGCATCTTTCTATCTAAGGTCGTTGTAAAAAAACTGCTGGAGACCTTCCATGACCTGCGATGACCTCACGGGCAAAAAAGGGTCAAGGATGTAATTTTCCGATTCAGTATGCCATGTTTATCTGTATCCATATTCCATATCAAGATTCCATATGCTTGAGTGTGTTTTCGTTAAAAAAAGAGCATTTAAATTTATCCCATAGATTTGGATAACTAATGGGGAAGTTGCAAAATTGACACTTTGGCCACCCAAATCAAAATTCCAAGATATTCAAATTGTTAGTGCTTTTTCTCTCATGCAACAGTCAAAGTTTCAAACTTCTTAGGATACGAATAGGATACGAATTGTAGTAACGCCAGAATCACATATAGTTATTTTAGAGGCATGGCCACTTTCCTTGAGCTTGTGACCTGACCTTATGTGACCTGAGGTCAAACATTTCACACACGATGCGAAATTGATATATCAAAAGCTATACCAGGTTTCGCGGCGCTGCGCGCTGCGGTTTTCTTTACACGCGCAAAAAAACTGGCTGGTGTGGCCAAACACGCCCCCCCCCCCCCACACACACACACACATGCACCGGGGCTAAAATACTCATCTGTAGCGTCTCGTCATTCTCTTTGGTTTGCCACATCGCACGACGATGGACGTTCAACCCCCCCCCCCCCCCCAGCAAGTGGTGGGTAGCGAAATACCTGCCCCAGCAACTGCCGGGTTAATTCCTGAGAGACATGGTCCTTGGAAGCCAGGCTGGAAGTTGTCCTTCCCGTTTGCCTGGGTGGTTGCCGTCAGCAAGGATGTTAGAGAAGAACTGGTTAGTCCTGACTCATGAATATAAAAAGGACCGATAATTTTACTTGGAGCGTCTCATGATTGCAACAAGAGAGCGACATCTCGGTCACTTTGCATGTGTCGCTCCAGGTTTGCCAGAGATTAGTGAGGCTCTACTAATGACGTAGACGAAAATAAAGAGAGAGGGTCTCGGAAGCAATAGTAAATAAGTTCTCATCGGATTCATTAATTTCTTCTGTAACAGTTATTTTTCATTTGGCCCTTGTGTGACTATAGTTACTCGTCTACGTATCCACCAGAGAGGGATGGCGTAAACGCTACCGCGGAACAGTTCGCCGGGGTATATGCATTACGCCTCACGTCCGGAATAAGCAATGGAATACGGTGCGCTGGCGCCATCTACAACAGAGAGCAGGGGACGGACAGAGAGCCGTAGAGCCATCTACAAGTGCTTGAAACGGACTGAGCGTGGTAAAGCACATAATATACCTACTACAGTCGAGGGAAACGGGCTGAGAGTGGTAGGCCCACATAAAAAATGGGCTGAGAGTGGTAGAGCACATACAGTCGAGGAAAACGGGTGACAGTGGTAGAGCCATGAATACAGGTGGAGAGAAACGGGCTGTGAACGCCAGAGCCGTCTCTCGTCGGGAGAAGGGACGAACCAAAAAGGGTAGATTCGCCTACAGTCAGGAGGAACCGACTGAGACACAGTGGTATAGAGGCATGTAACTAAGTACAATGGCATTGGATTCGGATGGACCAGGTTAGGTTATTCGTCTTTTTATCAGCAGGACATCCTCATCGTTGATCACCCGTCTCCGTTCGGGCTGACAGCCACCCCCTGCCCTCACTAAGGCAACCGGGGAACTGCCTGCCGCAGCCGCCTCATGCACGTGCATCACTTGGACTGCTATACCGCCTTCCTAACTAACTAGGCTACACAGTACACATCTCTCTACGTCTAGACTTTTTGTCGGCCCACTGTAAAGTGAGTTTTTGATTCACCAACTATGTCATTGCCTACTAGGAGCCCGAATTCCTCAACCCCGCAGCTCTAACCAGTGCCATTAGTGTGCGGCGTGACCGTCGTTAAATCTGGATGCTCTGACGCGTCATCCGCTGCCTCCCCCATCGGCATTCGCTGCACGCCGGCGTCTCATTCGACCTTGGCGTCCCGCCCATCGCTGGGACGCTGCCAAATCTGGCTACTTTTCCCACCCAGCTGCCAGATCTGGAGACTTTTCCACAAAGGTATCGATCTACCCAGGTGGGGTCCAAATGAGGTCGGTTAACTATCAGGCAGAGTTTACACTCTGATAAAACATCCGTTCGTCAGAACTCGGCCTGGCAAACAGCAATCGATAAGCCGTGGTCGTTCTAGTGACGCACCGTGGCCGTCGTGCTCGCCGCCACTATGGGGATGGGGTCGCTGGTCCTCGCCGTGGGGTCCGGCTAGACCTGCCTGACTGGCCGGCGCAGTCGGTTGGCCACGCTGCCACGGTGGGGTTGGAGGCGGCAGGAGTTGCAGCTGAGTGCGAGGAGTGATAAGAGTGTGCAGAGCGGATATCTGCTGCAGATGGTTTGACAGGGGTGCTTGCTGTTGGGTCAGGGGAGGGGCGGTATCGACTACTGGTGCTGGTACAGTCTCTGACGCCGATACCAGTGGCGGCTGGAGCGAAGTACAGTCTCTGGAAACGAGCTGCAGCTCGATTGGTGAGTAACGGGTGAGGGATGAGGGAGGGGATGGAGCTGGATGGCTGAGATTCAGATAACGGTGTCAAATGGGAGAGGGTTGTAAGCGGGTTGACCTTAAATACTGTCGAGACGGGGACTGAGAACGGTTGATCTGAGACTGTTGAGTTCTGAGAGCTGCAGTGAGCATTGATATCAGAACGGATGTCGAGGCTGCCGAAAATAAGTGATAGCCGTGAAATGGAGAGATGGTTGTACGTGGAATTGGGGAGATCGTTGCGACTCGCGATAATAATCGTGTTACCACGAAGGGACAATACATGGGCCAACTTCAATAGAAATAGCCAGAAACGACGCCATAAACGTCATATGACTATTGCTGAAGGTTGATTCAATCTGGCAATGCTTAGACTAAAGCATGTGACTCTCCTCACTTGAAGCAGCTTCGTAAGAAGAGACGTGGGCGAGGAAATGGCGGGGTCTCGTCCACATGCTATAGATAAATGGGCGGGTAACCCACGCCATCGATTTCTCCAGTCCAGTCAAGGTGAAAATGGTCGCCACCTGGTGACCTGTTACGTCACATTGGCGGGCTTCCCGAATCAATGCAATCTTTTCCGAACAGCTCCTACCCTCCCCCTCCCCAACAAAGTCGATACCGACCATCGAGTCTGGTCCAGCGTGCTAGCTGCTGTGTCATAAATTCCTTAGATGAGACCTTGGGCATAGAACGGTCGGTGTGCAAATTGAGGAAATCAGCGCAAGAATTGGGAAGGTAAGTGATGAGGACCGAGGGAGGACGGTGTGAGGTCCGAGTGAGGACAGTGGGAGGACAGTTTGAGGACCGAGGGAGAACGGAGTGAGGACAGTGTGAGGACCAAAGGGAGTAAGATTGGGCGACGGTGGGAGGACTGTATGTCGACCGAGTGTGGGGACCGGGGGAAGGATGTTGGAATGACGATTGGAGGGCCTGGGACCAAGGGAGGGTGGTGGGAGAACTGGAGGTTGGGATAAGGACTGAGGCAGAGTACAAACACGGGCATGGCAGAGAAGTAAATAGCTGAGGACCGATCCCGAGCATCGAGTACAGCCGAGTACAAATTATCTACGACTAAATAAAATCGGTTCGTGAAGTCGGCTAAGCAAATCGCCAAAGGAATACGGTTCGTCACAGAAAGGGCAAAAAATGACCCTCCACAAAGTTCGTTAGTTCGTTGGAACTTCTGGATATGTTTTACATATAAGCAATCGTATCGTGTATGTTAATACAATTGATTTGATACGACCGAATCGAGTAAAGGTGCATGTCATACGAAGCTCTTTGACTTGGTAGTGCATTTCGAATACTACAATATGGTTTTAAGATGATGCATCGGAAACATTGCAGTGTTTTATGATGATAAGATAATGTAACCAGCATAACGCCTTTGGGGGCGACTAACGGATCGAGCGAGAGGGTGGGCCTTGCACGTGCGAAATTTCGAGGGGGTACCTCCAGCTGACTTGTGCACGGCACCCTGCTAACCGGTTTCTAGCGATGTGCCAAATTTGAGCACAATCGGCCCAGCCGTTCTCGAGATCTGGAAGCGGCACCCTGCACGTGCGTACGTGCAAAATGGGTCCCAACTGACTTGTGCACGGCACCCTACTAACTGGTCCCTAACCGTGTACCAAATTTGAGCGCAATCGGTCCAGCCATTCTCGAGATCTGGAATCGACCCCTGCACGTGCAGCAACACCCCAACTCTGGCACATGGATATGCATTGCCTAGTGGGTGCCTACCTACATGCCAACTTTCAACGCAATCGGCCCAGTAGTTACCGAGATATGGCAACTATTACAAAACTGACACCTCTTCGTTTTGCACGTGGCACGTGCATAAGGGGTCACCCACATCCATCGGGAATAGTCCAATGCTTGGTAGAAGGAATGAAGCTACCCTACAAAAACTACCGCATGTAGGTAAATCGGTCAAGTGGTTGCTGAGATACGAGTACAAGCCTCGCAAAAGCGTCCGCACGGCCGGCCGCTCATACTCAGAAATTTCCGTTAATCTGAGGAAAGACTCCGCTCGCTTCGCTCGCTCCGTAATAATGTGTTCGAAGCGCGCAGTTAACAATGATATATTAAACCCGCGCCCTGGTGGGGTCTGTTTATAACGCGACCTGGTGGGGGGGGGGGCTATTTTTGCCCCCCCCCCCCCTCATATATCCGAAACTACTGGACGGATCCGAAAAAGTTCAAACGGTGTTCGAGAGGCCTGTCAAATTTGTTGAGGGAACCCAAATTTCATTGACCTCGGAGTCACCGATGACGTCACAGGTCAGGTCAAAGATGAAACGTTTCACCGTTCACGGGTCTTCTAGGGAATGCGCTATAACACCGAGGAATACGCATTTTGTCGAGAATCAGCGATAGGGCGTCATTTGCCTAGTACATATGTTGCTATTAGAGGTCACCGACAATACCAGGTCAGGTCACAGGTCAGGTCACCAAGGGTCAGCACATGAACCCAACTTTACAAAGGTTGTGCGATGCATGTTTTATGGCCAATTTTTCATTTTCAACTCAATGGTGTTGGTTATAAGACCATCAGGTACGGTCTAGGTCACTTTCTGGTGAAGGTCATGTCAAGGTCAGGTCAAAAAAGGTCAAATTTCAAAGTTGATAGTTTTGCATAAAATGGGTATTTATTCGATGCAGCTCGTCACGGGGAGTCAAATGGTGGTCTTTGTTTTGCGCTACGGGGTCTAGAATTGCTAAAAATTGAGTTTGAAAATTTGACGTCATCAATTTTGAACAGTTTTTTTTCGCTATAACTTGGCCAAAAAAAGAGGTATCGATCTCAAATTTGGTATGTGGATAGAAGGCGGTAAGGACTATTACATATATTCCGGATTTTTCGAAATTCAAAAAACTTTTTGGATTTTCCGGCTATTATATTCAAAAAAATATATTTTTTGATTTTTGAGGGTCCAAATCCAAAAAAATTTAAAAATTTGAGATGGCAGTTTTGTAGCCCTGTCAATTCTACAGCCTTTATATCCTAATCATTTTTCTGTATTTGCAAAGCTATAGGACTGACAGCTCTTAACGCGAAACCCTATTTTGGGTCGAAAACGGCAGGACATGACGTCACTCTGACGTCATTTCCGGCCAACCTATCATAGCCTTTGGGAAAATTATTGGTCACAATGTGTAAAATTGATGTCCGGGAGGGTACTGAAAGTTTGGTGACGATCGGCGCAGCGGTTCTGGAGATATATCGAAAAGTCTGGAGGGGGGAATAGCCCCCCCCCCTCACCAGGGCGCGGGTTAAAATCACAGTAATGGAGAAAAGGGAGACATTTAACCTACTAGTAGGAAAAGTAGGACATTTTATTTGGAAAAATGAGTATAGTCCTAAGCAAACCGTCTTTTAAGGACGTTTCTAAGTCCAGTCCAGATGTTTACTGGATTAGCTGTTGGCGGGTCACGTTGACAGAGGTTAACTCGCTGCAGCGAGCTAACCTCTCGAAATAACTCGCTGGCGTCTGGTCACTGTCTGGGCGCGCTGATCGCTGGAAACTGTTCACTGTTCAGGGCTGACGCTTGGCGGCTACCGGTGTTAAGGACGGTGTTTTGATCCACTAACGCCGCCCTCTCTGTGTCAACAGCTGGAGGTGGTGTGGTGTGACGTCACACGGTCATGAGCCCTGTGACGTCACCGTCCGGACGTCACGCGGTGTCAGGTGAGCCCGGGTCAGGTGAGGCCGAGTGAGGGTTAGGTGAACGTGATAGTCATGTCGTAAGGTAGGGTCGAATGATGTGAAGTTTAGACTGGCTTGATTGCAAGCTGGACATTTTTGTCTTGCACTCTTCATACTGCATCGACGTGCCTATTGCTCAATAACATTGTTTTATTATAAATTAAAGGGACTATCCCACCTTTAACATTGGGTTTGAGTTGAGATAGCCAAGTTTGCGGCGAGGTTCAGAAACCACTTTCTATCTAGGTTGCAACCCCCGCGGCCTCTTGGTGTTGAAGAAATTCGTTCCCTTCATTTGAAAATGGGCCTTGTACAAGGCCCTATCTTCAACATGGAGCGACCGTTAGTGTGACGTCACCTCGTTTAGTCATTCTGATTTAAATGGGTTTGTTCGTTGAAAAATCGCTTAAAACTTGGTCTGAACTTTGTTGTGGTGCCTACAGAGTAAAAAGAATCAGCTTTATGACAGTAATGTGGCCTGGGGAAGGAGGTAATTTTGGGCTGTGACGTCACATATTTGAAAGTTTGTGTTTGGAATATGGGAAGCCTAAGATGTTTAATGAAAAATAAATGCCAGAACCGTGTTCCTGGTCATCCAATCTATAAAGTCGGGCACAATTTAACTGGTTTTAACAACATTTTAAAAGGTGGGATAGTCCCTTTAAACTGTGCAAGACAAAAGTACGTACTTTTAACAAGAGCGCGACCATCATAACACCGAACCGAGTGGAAATTTGCCCGTCATCACAACACGTATGCATCGCATCACCACGACAATATGATAAGCGAGACGCGATAAGCGCGACTAAAAATACGTTGTTGATCTATACTGACTGCCCTATGCAATGTATGCCTCCGCTGCCGTCAACAGCAGTGACCGCGTAGTCAGCCGTCCACTGCCGAATCTTAGTTGACGTGCTCTGTGGTTAGACTTGTTTACATGTCACCGAAGCTTGGAATGGCACGTAGCATTAAGCGTTATATATGTTTGCATTTCAGCGTGGTCGTTACAACCCAGTGTTTATGCTGCATGCAAGGAAGATCATCGTTTATGACCTTTAGGATTATCACTCCTCCCCCTCCAGCGCGCCGGCTTAGCTTTGGGACCGTTGCAGACGGCGGGGTCAAGGTCACCTCTCTGGGGCAACGGATTTGCGGCGCGACCTAAGATTCACAGTTCTTCACAACTCTCACAGCGATTGGCTTTCCTACTGCCTACTGATAAGGAGGTTTGATCTCAATACTTACGAGTCGATGCGTGCCACTGACGTCCATGTTCGTTGTTCCCCAGATGGTCTCTGTGACGTCACTAATCTGGAGGAAGTGCCGACGGTACCGGAAGTCCCTGCTCGCGGTCGCTGTCCTCGCCGGTCTGCTGCTTCTGCAGAGCAGCGCCCTATGGAGCCAGCCGGCCACCGCCAGCGACATCTATTGGCTCACCGGTGCTGCCACCTACCGCCCGCCAGAATGCGACTGCTCTCGGCGCCTGCCGGACCCCAGCAACAGCCCCCTGGTTCGCTCGCACTGCGGCCCGGAGGCGGACGCTCGCGGGCCCGGTCAGAACGTCATCTCCTACAGCTTCTACGGCTCCAACTACACGGCCTATCTGCGTGGCGCGGCGATGAACGCGAAGCGCGCCCGGCGCCTTTACCCCGGTTGGGTGATGCGCGTTTACTATCATGGCAGCCAGCGTGGCGGCCGATGGGGCACCGAGTACTGCCGAGTTCGCTGCGCGTGAGTGGAGCCGTAGAGACCTTATGATAGCTTAGTCAGTCGTCTTGTGATGGCTCATAAGCTGCTCATTTACCGGGGGACTGGGGAACACAACACAATCAGTTCATGGATAGGCGTGCAGGTTGAACGACATAACCGGCAATTTATTTGTATTTGTATTTGTATTTACATTTAAGAGCGTTCCGTTCCACATACATACAAAGTGCGTGGCGATTACTACGGTATACGAAAGACTTCACAGACTTACTGGACAGACTGTCACATATGTCGCCAGTGGCAGCCGTTTTAAGGTTCGCATGAGTGAACGCTTTTTATGCTCATTTGCTTCCGAAGAGGCTTTCTGTGCAGTTGTCCCTGAAAAGCGTTCTTTTTGCCATAACCGTACTGGGGTCCTTCTTCATTTTAACGCATGTTTTAATATGATTAGTTCATAAGTCAGCTACAGCTACTGTAGCAGCGTACCGCCTTTTCGTTATTCCGGTTTCCGAGGGATGACTCCTGTTTCTGTGACGTCACAGGTACGATCACGTGGACTTTTGTGACGTCAGTCGTCTGGAGGGGTTCGGCGACCTGGGTCGGCAGCGTGGCTCCATTTGGCGGTTCTTGGTGATGGATGACCCCACCGTGACGCGATACATCGTCCGCGACCTCGACTCCTTGATCACGGAGGTGAGCCGTTTTTTCAGTAGCCAACAGTGGCAGAGCGGGGGCTGTAGGTCTATGTTGCTCTTGGTAGACTGTATCATATTTGTCACAATTTTGGTATGCACGTTCTGGTGTTCTGAGCAGCTTCAGCCCAAATTTCAACCGATGGCCTACGTTACTGACTTTATTTTGCGCCGGCACTATCGCCCGACCAGCTTACCAAGGAGCCTTCCACAAGTCCCGGCTCCCTAATTTCCTTGGCCTTAGCAGAAGGATATTATACCATGACGTCTCTATATAAAATTTGTCTTTGTAGTGTATCTCTAGTCCTCGACCACAGACCTAATACTCCCCAGTGGCCAGTGACAGCAACTTTCACCCGTTCCGTCGTTTCCATCCTTAGGACAGTCAACTCCTTATCCTCCACGCTACGACCCCTGATCCAGGCTGGACAGGCTGAGGCAACTTAAGCTCATGCGGGCTGCTCCCATTGGAGCGGAGCGCAGCTCCTAAGTGCACTCACTGCACCCGTAGCCGGGTGCAGTGAGTGGCTGAGTGCTGGGAGGGGGGGGGGGAGGCTGGGCTGTCTTTTGGCCGTCTATTGTCCAATTGGATGGGCTTGGCCCCGGCGACTCACTAGGGTGCCTGCTCAGACCAATCTCTCCCCCTAATTCCTATTATCGTCATCCCGGCTCTGCAATGTTCTCAATGGACCGAAAGGGCCTAACCTAACAAAACAAGCAAAAACAAACAAACAACAATGTGTCATGCTGCCCAGAGTACTGACCCATACTTACACCCTTTCCATTTGCAGCGGGAGCGAGCGGCCGTCCAGGAGTGGCTCGACTCCAACAAAACGTTCCACGTGATGCGCGACAGTCCGCACCACGGCAGCGCCATCCTAGCCGGGATGTGGGGCGGCGACAACGCGCGCGCCGCCCTCTACCGCCCGCTGATTCATCAGCTGATCCGACCCAGCTGGCCAGCCGTCCGCATCAGACTGCGAGTGCTCGTCACATTCTCAGACGAACGGGTATGTCCGAGCGGCGCCTCAGGGAGGTGGGAGTTACACCGTGTCAGCTGTCTGAGATATTGTGTTTCATGTGTTAGATGACCTTGCTTTTCTTTTGAGCAACGGTTCGGCATTGCCCCGTGATTATTCCTTCAATGAAGCATTTCATTTTAGTCTGTATTTAGGGCCATTATGAGGTCGTGTCGCAGATTTGGGTCCACGTAGAACCCTCATTTCATTTTGTGACAGTTTAAGTTCTTGACTCATTTTGCGGGACATCGCGTTTCAGCTTCTTGGACCACGTGTGTGCTGCTCACGTTCGTCCTCTGGCCGCATAGGTATGATCATGGGCTTCAGTTCTGGGACTGTGATACACCCGCCGTGTTTCAGTTCTGGGACCAGGTGCTGCTCGAGTTCGTCCTCTGGGCGGATATGATCATGGGTTTCAGTTCTGGGACTGTGATACACCCGCCGTGTTTCAGTTCTGGGACCAGGTGCTGCTCGAGTTCGTCCTCTGGGCGGATATGATCATGGGTTTCAGTTCTGGGACTGTGATACACCCGCCGTGTTTCAGTTCTGGGACCAGGTGCTGCTCGAGTTCGTGCTCTGGCCGGAGATGTCTCTGGGTTCTGGGACTGTGATACACCCGCCGTGTTTCAGTTCTGGGACCAGGTGCTGCTCGAGTTCGTGCTCTGGCCAGAGTGTGTTTCAGTTCTCAGACCGTTTACCCCCCCCCCCCCCTTGTTTCAGCTCAGTGACCCGCCTTGTTTCAGTTCTGGGACCAGGTGCTGCTCGAGTTCGTGCTCTGGCCAGAGATGTCTCTGGGTTCTGGGACTGTGATACGCCCCTGTGTTTCAGTTCTGGGACCAGGTGCTGCTCGAGTTCGTGCTCTGGCCAGAGATGTCTCTGTGTTTCAGTTCTCAGACCGTTTTACACCCTCTTGTTTCATTTCTGGGACCAGGTGCTGCTCGAGTTCGTCCTCTGGGCGGATATGATCATGGGTTTCAGTTCTGGGACTGTGATACGCCCCCGTGTTTCAGTTCTGGGACCAAGTGCTGCTCGAATTCGTGCTCTGGCCGGAGATGTCCCTCCGCCGTGACGTCATGGTGCACGATAGCTACCACTGCCAGTCGGACCCACTCAGTCGACCGTGGCCCACGCAGCGTAAAGACAGAGAGGACTTTGTCGGGTACGCCGAGCTGCGCTACTACGACAAACTGCCGGAGGAGTGTCCTCCCGCCTGCCGTCCTCCCGACCACCAGGACTGGCTCTGGTGCTGAGAGGAATGTCCTCCCGCCTGCCGTCCTCCCGGCCACCAGGACTGGCTCTGGTGCTGAGAGGAGAGTCCTCCCGCCTGCCGTCCTCGCGACCACCAGAACTGGCTGTGGTGCTGAGAGGAGTGTCCTCCCGCCTGCCGTCCTCCCCAGCACCAGGACTGGCTCTGGTGCTGAGAGGAGAGTCCTCCCGCCTGCCGTCCTCGCGACCACCAGAACTGGCTGTGGTGCTGAGAGGAGTGTCCTCCCGCCTGCCGTCCTCCCCAGCACCAGGACTGGCTCTGGTGCTGAGAGGAGTGTCCTCCCGCCTGCCGTCCTCCCCAGCACCAGGACTGGCTCTGGTGCTGAGAGGAGTGTCCTCCCGCCTGCCGTCCTCCCCAGCACCAGGACTGGCTCTGGTGCTGAGAGGAGTGTCCTCCCGCCTGCCGCCCGCCCCAGCACCAGGACTGGCTCTGGTGCTGAGAGCAGTGTCCTCCCGCCTGCCGTCCTCACCAGGACTAGCTCTGGTGCTGAGAGACCTGCGTGAGGAGTGTCCTCGTGGTACTGTTAACCCTCAGGATCCATGGCCCCTAGTGCTGAGCTGAGCACTGACGCTTGGAAAAGCGACTGTCAGAAAGGGCTGATGCTGTGCGAAAGACAGGTCACAGTACCAGGATGTGAGGTGCTGAGAGACGGGCTGTGCGTGTGCAAAGAACTACCCAGGTTTGGAACAATGTCGCTGAAAGTTACGTTAGCAATGGTGCTGAAAATCGGCTGTGGTGACGAAGAACGAAAGATGCTATGCATAGTTTCTTAGTGTTGTTACAGGACAAGTGTGCGCGCTGTGACACCCCAGAAGGCAAGTAATATACGTTGTTGCCAGGCGATGATGGTTACGCGCACTATTAAAAAAGTGAGGACTGGTGCTGCTAATTTAGACATTGGAACAAGTACTCAGTGACATACCTCTTGATTGTATGCTACCTCTGTCCTGATTTCCCACCGCTCTACAGAGAAGAAAAGGCTCATCTGCCGCCATCTTCGCTTGTCCTAACAGCACCTGTTTTGAAGACTGTTGTACCTAGTCTGAAGTCTCTGTATGTGCATCTGATTGTGCAGACTGTCTCTCAGACGGAGTTCCTCAGTGGAGTTTGTTCCGCTGTGATTGCTGCTTCACTAAGTCTATACTATGTATAATTGTATAAGGCGTGTCGCACGCGTTGTCACTTCTTGGCTCTGAGAGCACTCGATTATTGGACCGGAAGGCGCTCACATGATACTTTGATACACGTCCAAAAAACCTTCCATGTCGATAATTGCTGCTTGGTGTCAGAAGTTCAGGGATGTTTTATAGCAGCAGTTTCATTTAAGCTCTTAATTTATGTTTCTGTTGAGATACTATTTCGTGCAGGTGCGTTCCGTATCTAAACATAATGAACCTGATTTATATATTTGTAGGTATAAGATGATGTTTTCAGAGAGAAATAATACACATAGCGTCTCTCATTGGGTTCGATTAACTCGTTGAAAATCATTGGATTTTCCTGCCCGACAGGAAGATATTGCTACAATACAACACGTTAACATCACACTGAAATATGGCGTCAGCTGCCTACCAGAAATATGTAAGATGAGTGAGTCGATAGATCACCACAATACCTGTGTGTTGCCTGATATTCAGATATTGAACACGTTTACTGACACTCCATTTCCATTGTATTTTTTACGACATAGTTGCGATAGTTACAAGCTTAGAACGACATATCCATACACATTCAGACATTTTAAAGCGTCGATAAAAGTATCATTTCAGCATGTCATCTTATGTTTACCTACCATCAAAAACACACATCATGCTTAAACAAATCACCACTATTTAGGGGAGAGCGGGGAGAGTTGTATCATGTCCAAGTTGTATCAGGGCGAATTTTGCCAAACTTATCCAATAGATAGCGCTCGTGACACGACCAGCCGACGAGGTTTTCCGGGCGCCATCTTTCCCTGTTCTGTCGTGTGGCTGGGTAGACGCGTCTCGTGGTGAGAGCCGATTTTATGTTTTTTTAGTGTCATTCTAAAAAAATAAGTTGCAAGAAAATGTGTGTTTTGGGCATTTAGATGTGCACGAATTTGAAAGATCTCCGTAGCGGTGGTGAGGGTAGGTTCTAAGGCTGCGTGAGTGAAAATGGATTTCTCCAGCTCTGTCCGCTGTTTTTGAGCACGAGGATGTTTTTTCCAAGATGGCGGCGAGGTACATGTTGTATCAGAGCCGGGTGGGGTATGTTGTAACATGTATGTATGTATGTATGTATGGGTATGTTGCTTTTGATCGCGAAACCTAAGCCCTGGCTCGCGTTTGTAGGTAGCTAGTCAATACTCGTTCCATTTCGGCACAATATGTTGACTTCTTTTCTCTTAACGGGCCACTTTTGCGTCTAGTCTGTTGATGTTTCGTTTAGATTGCATTGACCTAAGTTTGGTCTAATAAAAGTGAAGTCTTTGAGCATATACCTACACTGTATTAACCCGATTTAATGTTGTTGTTATGTTCAAAACCAGTAGCAAGCACACTGACTGAAACGTGAAATAGTGATACAAATTACCCCACCATGTGATACAACTCACCCAAGCCATGGGGCAAGTTGTATCAAAAACATTGTTCTATTCGGCAGACCGTAGAAGAAAAACTGGTAGAGGTAGCGGAAAAGTTACTTTGCACAAACAAGCAGAAAAATCAAGAAAGGGGATAGTATGAAAATAATGAGTTTATCACGGATAGTTACGAGGTTATGGGTCTCGGAGTAAAAACTGATACAACCCACCCCACTCTCCCCTACATCAAGAGTGGTCAAAGACTGCACTCCATATGTACAGTACAATCACTAATTGTTAGAAAGACGTTTTGTACGCTAGCGTCTCAAGATTGCACAATGTATGCGAGGAAGCTCAAAAACGTAATGGACATAAAAAGGTCACGCTACAAAAAAACTCGTCACAATCAACCGAAAACAGTTGGGAGCTATTCACACATATTTCAAAAATATAACGGTGTTGGGAATGCTGAACGAGTCATAGGTTTTTAACACTGAGAGCTAGGCATTCTGCCACGCACTGTAGTAAACCGTTAGTAAACGTTTAACAACCGATTTACGTGAAAGAGTCATTGGCATATCAACGCTGGACCACTTCGGAAACAAGCAGTATAAAACAAAATTTCAGCTACGTGTATTTAAAAAATTGCAGCCATCAATGGTCATTTCGATAGCTATAGTAACTACTTACAGAAGTATTAATGAACGATTTTGCAATGCTGCATGAAAATATGACTGATCAATGCTTCAAGTAGCTGCTTATGTTTAGGGACAATGAATGAGATCGATGACATTTGGTCGGGTCCCAATGCAGGGATCAATTCAGAACCAAGATTGTCATACGTTAGCGTAAGAACCGTGCAGTCATGAAATAGGTAGTTTTCGTCGATTTGATTGCTAGTGGACTGCATAATTTACCTGAATTACGGTTTCATTTGACCAGCAGTGCTCGATGACGATCGATGAGGTTGGGAACTGCATGTATTTTTCTTTTCTTTTTTAAATATTGTGGTGCTTGAGCCATATGAATAGTGAAAGCTGCACTTCAACATATGTAGGTTTCAGGACTAAATCCTTACTCAGTTGGTAAGTGAAATGTTTTACAAAGAAAATCAAGGGCTATTCTTTCCAAATTAGCCAAAACTTAGATAACAGTTATCTAGCATTTCTAGATCTTTCTGCCGAGTGACTAACGATTGATAAATATCTACTTACAACATTCCAGTTATCTACTCCATTGAATCTACGCCGTATACAGAAAACTCGCACATATATCAGAGCATATTTGGCCATCGCGTTCGATATTCAATGTCATTAGTTAGGACATTGGCTTTTCAGTGACGAGCGGCATGACAATGTGGCACTCAACTCATTTCCGGTTCATCGTCCTGAGACACGATATTTAACTAATGATACCTACAACTACTCAGTACGCACTGCGCAGTCTTTTTCATCGCGAGACGGACTCCCGCAGTGGCTGTCCACCTTTCGCACCCACTGCTCAGGCATTTGTTTACTTCGGACGACTGAGATCATCCAGGAAACGCGCAGACTGAAGTCGGCGTCTTGCTGGAACCTTGTAACGAACCACTATAGAAGATCTTTTTCTTGAACGACCTCCGAAGACCATTAGATCTGGTGCTCTCGATGATGCGGCATTCGCGACACCCGATCCGGTACTGTTCCTCACTCCGCCCATCGCCCGGTCAGTTCTGTATCCCTCTTATGTCGGGTAATACCGACTCGCTCAGTCCTTTATCTCTGTCTCTACACCCCCTGGATCGGCCGTTACTCAGTACCGACCCCTTCCTCCCGTGTCCAGGGACACTGACGAAGTGTCTAGCGAGTCGTCCTCCTGAGGAAGCTGAAACAGACACGACCAGTCAATTTTCCGTGGTTGCCACTTGCCACTCCCGCAGGCGGACGGATAGTACAACACCACAGTCAGAGAGGGGAGGGAGAGAGAGAGAGAGAGGGGGAGGGGTGGAAATTATTATACCGAGTGGAGGTTGGCTAAATTGATAGGTCTCCGTATATCCAGATAAGATGCTGTGATACCTATAAGTGATACATGCTGCATAATAGTAAATCTACGTAGGTATTCAATGTATTTCACTACGTGTG